GGGGATTGACGAGACGTATAAAATAATGATTAGTGATCTATAGGATTTCTAACGATACCAACATTTTTTTAAACTGATAAAAAAATATATAATTAGCCCCACCTAAAACCATTTTAATCGTTATTTTACGTACAAAACTTTAAGCCTAACGACGGTTAACATGTATTGTGAATCCCCTAATTATTCATCATAATTTTCATTTCATTTTATATTATATTCTACCAAAATTCTACTTCACATTCTAATTTTAAACAATTTGGATCCTATATTTACTGAGATATGGTAGTTTTTAGAAGGGGACGTGGTTACAGTCCGATTTCTCCCATTTTCAATAGCAACTTACATTGGAGAAATACATACCAAATTTCGTTGAGATATCTCAATTTTTGCCCGAGTTATCGTGACACGGACAGACGGACGGACGTACTGACAGACATGGCTTAATCGAGTTCCCTTTTCATTATGAGCATTTATGTATACATGTGTCTATATCTATCTCGATTCTTTAGGCTGTTACATACAACCGTTACGCAAACAAATTTATAATACCGTCGGGTATAAAAAATGATGAAGCCATGAGCCATTAGTTCTCTCCAAGAGAACTGCTACTTTGCCCTCTAAATTTTTGACTGATGGATAATTTTTTGGTCTGCACAAACACGATTTGAACAAAAATCGTGATAATTCGTACAAATTCGAAAAAAATGTTTGCGTAAAGAAATTATTTATAGAGATGATCTTTGGAATTTTAGAGGTCATATTAATATTGTGCTGTACTGTTGGAAAAATCGTCGATCAGCAAATAATGTATGAGCCAAATAAACGCAGATGGCCTAAAATATAAATAGTCAAACATTAATTGCATGTATGTACGTAAAAACGAACTTACTTGTGCAATGCAATTGCAAAAAAAAAAATTCCATATTTTTATACCCGAGCGCACTTGTGCACAAGGGTATATTAATTTTGTTCACATAACGGTTGTTTGTAACAGCCAAAACGAATCGAGATAGATATAGACAAATGTATACATAAATGATCAGGATGAAAANTTATTGTGCTTGCCACATAAAAGCAAAACGTTGAAAATTATTGAAATCGGACTAAAATTACGGCCGCTTTTCATATAACGGTAAATTTCAGAAATGCTTGAAACTGCGATATTACGAAATTTAAGGACGCTAATTTACTCAAAATTGATAGACCCCGGTTTACCATGTAGCGGTAGCCTTCGGAAAGGTGAAAAACATATATTTAATACTTGCGCCGGGTATTTAATGTTCGGCTCCGCCCGAACTTAGACTTTCTTACTTGTTTTTGTTATATTTAGCAAAAGAAAGTTTGTTTAACCGTACACGATGGAAGTATTAATAATTTATAGGCAAAGCAAATACGAAAATAAAATCAATTGGTACAGCATTAACTAATTCAACAATTATGGTATTTTTTCAAACAAATTAAACAGATTATTTTATTGAAGTTGCTCTGAATTGTAATAATATAAAAGTAACAAGCTTTTACATAGATACGATTGGGAAAAAATTAAACATTTTAAATAATTGTTTCTTTGTAATTTATATATTGTTTTCAATTAATACGTTATTATATAAACTGGTCCACCCTTTTTTGAAGTGCAGTGCATTATTTAATAGCCTTGTCTGATGGGGACTGAGTTCCAGAGACTAATAAAGTGTATGAAGAATTGATGTTCAGATATAGAAATACAATATTTAGTTACGAATACATATAATAGTTGCGTTCTTTATCTCCCAGAAATAGTCCGAAGTAGTCAGATTTAGTCCAAAAAGCTCTTAAACTTGAACTTCTAAAATCTTGAAAAATGTCAAACTCAACTGATACCTCGTTTATACCGACAATTTTGATGATTTTCGTTGTGACTCAGTTCAGTGTGATTCAAACCAGATGCATAAACAAAATTTCTATACACGATGAAATCGAAAAGTGTATTGACTCGAATTTGTTTTCTAATCGGTTTTTTATTTCTCATATCGGTTAGAAAACCTGTATAAACGAATAATTCATTTAACGTGAATTCAGGATTGGATATTTTTTTATTTCTAAAGCCCGTTTTCAATAGTATTTATTATTATAATAAATTTGTATTACCGTTCGCTTCTATTTCGGTCCACCGCGCAAATTTATTATTAAATAAATGTCGAAAAAAACTAACGGAGTTTGTTTACCTTTCAATACGGTTTATTCGAGGGCGATATAAAGACTGAGGAATAAACGCTAGAAATAAATATATGTTGAATCGAATCGGTTTTTTTTAAAGCGGTTTTTTCGTAGGTATAAACAAGGTATAAACAAGGTATGAATTTGAATTAACGGAACTTAAGAATACACTAAAAGTGAGAATAATCTAAAAACTAAAAAAGTGATTTAAAAATGGAAGGAGGCAAAATATAGGTAGTAGATAAGTGTTTTTTGTGCTTGTGCTTGCGTGAATGTGTTTTGTACATATATTTCTATTCTTATTTGACATTAGTTTTGTTGTTGCCATTCTTTGGACTAAACATTTGGAAATAAGGAATGGACCTAGTATATGTTTGTACATATCAGTGCTGGCAAAATGTTAATCTTATTAATGATTAAAAATTAACGATTAAAATGTTAATCGCGATTGACGATTAAAATTAATTAATCGCAATCAACTGAACGATTAATGATTAAATTTTTTTAATCGTTCATCGCTGGCTGCGATTACGATTAACTAATTTTAAATCATTAGTCGTTAATCCAATTAAAAAGAACATCTGATTAAGTTGTATAGTTTGTTCGAATTTGAAACCAAACACCAGTTATAGCAATTATTTTGTGTTCTATGCTTATAAAAAGCACATAATATAAAAAAATTATAATTATTGTTATTAGTAATACACAAACTGGGAACGTCGTAAAAGTGCAGAGGGATATTAAAAGCAAGTTTGTAAAACGTCTGTTGGAATAGATCTTAAAGAAAATGCACACCAAATTGCTTAGATTGATGAGGAAAACCGACTTAGCCATATACCCGATTAACTGGCCTTGTGTGCACAGGAAAATTCTGCAATAACACAAACGGCAATAACGGAAATTTATATTATTTCCCAATTAAAGGTAAATTAACATAAATTTTCTTTATTTCATTGAGCAATAAGACCAACGTTTACACTTTACAATTGAGTAATAAAGCAAAATAGTACACATGCATACATAGGTAGTCACCCAGTTACATTTGACAAAAATTAGTACACGAATAAGCTAAATGGACGGATTTGTAAGTATACAATTTTAAAAGTGCCCCGCGTCGCGGTGGTCCACCTTCGCGCGCCACCCTGCGTTCGACGTCTCGCTCGCGTCCCCCGCCCTTAGTTTACGACGACAAAAATTTGGCACATCATTAAGCGGAACCTGGAAGAACGTGAATATGTAATTCGGTCGCAGGGAATGTAAAACTTGAATTTCGGGGCGCAGAGGGTTGTGAAATTACCGGCATCTTGAAAAACAATGGTGGTGAAAATTTTTTAAAACTTAGAGAAGCAACCATTTTTAGGCCTTAATCAAACTACGTCTAATCGTTAGTATTCATACATGGTAGGAAAATTCCAAAGGGAAAATTTCCCTATCTCATCATTATATACTGGGAACTGTGAGAATTGGTGACTTACTCTGAAATAGAGATGGGCACGGGACTAACTATTTAACCCAGATCCTGGCCGGTCCCGTGGTTCCCGAAATCTATCACTAAGAAACATTCACATGTCTTTTAAATTAATATTAAATAATAAAATTATTAATATCAATCCCATTATTTTGTTTTGCTTTGCTGTTCATTTTCATCTGAGTAAAACATAAAGAAGTGCATATTTCATACATCGATTTTAAGGAAGATTACCTGAATTTACAGAGATTGCGGTCCCTCCCGACAGAAAAATTTTTACAGACCTTCCCGATACCGTTCATCCCGGCCAATTTGAAATCAGTATCGTGGGTCCCGCTGTCCCCGATATCCCGCGCCCATCTCTACTCTGAAATTAGGTGCAATAAGGTCCTCAGCATCGGAGCGTTTTAATTTTTTCGCTACTTGATAAATACTCGTCAGGTGAATTTTCGGCTATCACTTTAGTTTCTGCAAATTCGGCAGTCGGAGGGGCAGAATTTTTCGGTTTAAAATAGTTCGTTATTTTTACAGAATATATTCGCCACGTAGCACTTTTTATTTTGGTGATTCACGCATATTGAAAATACACTTTTTCTACCAAATAGGTAAATGATACTGATTTGATTTGACTTTTAACTTATTGAAAGCTTCAAAAGCCTTCAAATTCAAATCAAAGAAATGCGAGTGTATATATCGCACACAATCTTAAAAGTGACACAACTCAAAATTTCGCATTTTTGAAATTATTGACTAAAAATGTACAGAGAGCTTTTATTTACCTTTCAGGAAAAGCTGGAGCAAATTTTTGTTATAATTTGTTGAAAAAACCTTAGGCAAAGCCTTCCTTGCCCATATAATTAGCACGTGCTATGAAATATTTAGTTATATTTAGATTGGCCTCGCTATATTTTTAATACAAATTTATTTTGTCGAAAATAAAAATTATACCGCAGATTAAAGGAGTACAGCTAAAAATCATCTAAAGTCATGTTCTTTTATCTAAAATAAAATAAACTACTTTTTGCACTTTTCGAAATAATGCGTTTTTTTCCAAATGCATCAAATAATTTTTGAATACCTGTTAATGCCATCAGATCTGCATTAAAACCCTGACCTGACGGAAACGGTATTATGTACATATAGCGTAGGGGTGCAATAACACAAACGCAAAATTTGCTTTATTTCACTTTTAAATGAGAATAGGTTGGAAATAAAACATATTTTGCCTTATTTTCCATTGATTATTTATACTATTTTAATACACACAGTTTAGATGTTTCATCGTTTTTCTTGCAAACATCGATGTTGCCAAACATCCAGTTCTAGTATCACTTACCAGGCATACTCCTTTCCATGAAAATTGTACAAGAGACCGATTCCTTTATTAAGATAGAGTTAGAGATTAAAGCGTCAGTACATTACTGTGCATCTGAAAACAAAAAAATACTTATACATAATATATTAAGTATATTGTAAATATATACTTATGTAAGTATCTTAGATCATACATCTATATGTATTAGGAATGTTAATCCCGGGATCCCGGGATTTTTAGGTCCCGAAAATCCCGGGATGCTTGGCAAATAATCTCGGGATTTTCGGGATTTGAAATTTGCACTGATGGCAATAATAGAAACTCCTTTTCTTGCCCAGTATTGGCTATATTTCATTTTTATTTAATAATTAATATTTCTTTTATAAATGTCTAGATAATTATACATATAACACCGTGCGATAGTAAATTTTACAAACAAAAGTCAATATACTCGCGAAACTATTTGCCACATATAGTAAAAGTGCGTTTTTAGTATTTCACTCTGACGTCAGAAATTCCAAAATTATTTAAAAAATTCAGTAAAATGTGCTTAGAGAAGAAGTATGGGTACCAAATTAAAGAGGAAATCCTGTAGTATTTAAACAAATTTAATTTTTTGGAGCATAAGGACTGGTAAGTATTGAAAATGTCTTTTCAAAATTTTATCCTTGAAATTTCGCAATTTTTGCTTTTGATAAAATTATATGTTAAGGACTCGATAACATCCTCGAATTTCGTCCTCCTAACTTTAGCAGATTAAAAAATTACCTACGCGTCCTTGTGAATCCAAAAAATTTTTATTTTTTTTTAAATTCAAAAGAAATTGATTTTTTAAATAACTTTTGGGATTCATCATGTCTTTGAAATTACAAAGTCCTCTAAAATAAATACTGACGTCAGAGAGAAAATATGAAAACGCCACTTTAAATAAAAAAGTAGGTTTCAAACCAATTTATTTATTATTTATTTTATGGTAGGAGAGCTTCTCAAAAAAATAGGGGGAATGATCCCGGGATTGTGATAACGACATCCTGAAAATCTCGGGATCGTTAAAAGCGAAAAAATTAACATCCCTAATATGTATACTTAGTTAAGTTAGTTACTTAATAAATAGTATAGTATAGTGTTTATCTAATATTGCTTGCTTGAAAAGCATTTGGAAATGCGCAATTAGACTAATACCAAGAGAATATTTTTACAGTAGTGTTATTTACTCTTTTCCATATAAAAAATTACTTTGTATGGAAGAAAATGCGTGATACCGTCAGCAAAAAAAAATATTTCAAAAATCAAAGCGATTTTTTAGAAACTGCAAACTTGCACTTTATTGCACTAGAATTTAATAAGCTATAAAACTGCATACCAAAAATTATTGTAGAAATTAAAATTAAAATGCTTGGAATTGGGATGAAAAGTTTGTGGAATTTTTATAATATTTGTACAAAGTCTGAAATTTAGATTTATATTGTATTTGTTAGATAAAGAGCTATACTTTTATATTAAAATAATGAACCTTAAAAAAAGCAAATGAAAAATAGCCAAAACTATGTATGTGTAGGTATTTTGTACACAGTTTACAACAATTAAATACTGGAGAAAATAATTAGGGAGTTCACAAGGTTTTGTATACTGTCGTATTGTTGTATGTCGTAAAGTTTAAACGGCTAAAACTATATTTAAGGGATTCGGCAGCTGCCATAAATGTCGTATTATGAAATCTCACGCCATTAAAAATTAGTTGGCTGAGGTTTGAAGTCCTCTAAACATTTATTTATCCGTTAAAAACTTTACGCCATACAACAATACAAACTCCCTAAATATTACACATACATATGTATGTATATATATATTTATGTGTTATTTATATTCATATTTTTGTTTGTGAGTAGGTGTTCTCAGTGTCTTCTAAGATTTTATTCTTGGGCAATTTCATATAGGAGTTGCTGCCCTGTCTACAGAGCTTAATATATTTAAGCAAGTCTTCTGTTCAATTCGAAGGATAACCTCGATCGGCTTCTTATTGGAACTTACCACTGATCAATATTGGAAACACCATTAATATGCAAACATACACGTCAATCCATTTCACAAAATAAATGCATATACATATCTAAGTGCCTAATCAATTGTTGAGTAAATACATATATTCTAACCACTATTCAATACTGGAATTGCCGATTTGTGATATTCAGCTGTAACTTAAGAAAAAAATACCAAACTTCTACACTGTGAAGAGTTTTCTAAAACTATTTGAAAATGTGGTTGACACTGAATTGCACCGCTTTCAGCTCAAGTGACTGAGCTACTGGTAAAATCTCTGGCAAAAGTAAGCAATTATATCAGTTAGTTGAAAGAAACTTTTTTCAGAAACAAGTTAAGACTGAATGAGTCATACGAATCCTGGGTTTTTCCAATTTTAATGATCGGCAACAATAATTATCAGCGATTCTCTGAAATTGATGCTTAGAATGCGCACAAAGCTCAAACAGCGTCTGGGCTTAGAAATCAACTTGCATTGCCTTAAATACCTGTAGGTTGGTTGTATTATCTACATACAGCAAATGGAACTCACTAAATAGATCGTCACAACAGCCGGTGCTGCTTCAGTGTAATTGCCACCAGATAATAATTTTGTTCATTAAAAATGCAATACTTTTCTCGTGAATGAAGCAAATCCTGGGTTTTCCCCACTTACATAACGTCTCGTCGCCCACTTTACATGCTGTTTGTATGATTTTTTTTTATATTTTATTTTTGTTCGAATTAAAAAAAAAAATCAAGTCGATTGACGAGAAACAATTTTGCGATTTCAATTAAACTTTGCTCGCATGTACGTGTGTATGTACTATGTATACATGTATGTACTATGTATACTGAATGGTGCATGATGCCAATAAGTATGTGATTGTATATTCATACGTAATTAATACTCGCAGGTAAATAAATATCAAACATGAAATATTACAATATCCCAGTTGTGTTTAATTTACTTTCATTATCATACATATGTATGTATATACATCAGTGTTGCCGTTGTAGCCCTTTGGTGGCTAGATTTAGCTACCAAATACTTTTTTTGACAACATAAATTTAAAATTGCCCCTAGCCCTTTTGTAGCTCTTTTGAAAAATTTATTCATACTTGACATGAAAAAGTGGTATATGCTTAATTTGATCTGATTTTTATACCTTTCATGAGCATGAAATGGTATTATAACTTTGGTCCGATGTTTGTAAGTACCAGAACAAAAAGAGATAGACCCATGAAAATGTATACTTACATGATCAGAACGTCGAGCTGAGTTGATTTAGCCATGTCCGTCTGTCCGTCTGTCTGTCTGTTTGTATGCAATCTAGTCTCTCAGTTTTCGAGATATCCGGATCAAATTTGGTAGGTGGGTGTATTTTTATAATGTATTAATCATTTGTCGGAACCGGAAGAATCGGACCACTATAACATATAGCTCCCATACAACTGATTGTTCAGATATGAGATTTTTCGTTATAATTCATCCATTTATGTAGCTAGGACCATGAAATTTCGCGCTGTTTTCACTCATTATCAACAGAAGACTTACAGCGAAAATAACAAAGATCGGGTCACTATAACCTGCAGCCCCCATACAACTGATTGTTCAGATATGAGGTCTTTTATCATAACTCCTCCATTTATGCAGCTAGGAACATGAAATTTCGCACCATTTTCACTCATTATTAACAGAATACTTACAGTGAAAATAACAAGGATCGGGTGACTACAACATATATCTTCCATACATCTGATTGTTCAGATATGGGATTTTACTGTAAAACTCCTTTATTTGAACAGCTAAAACCGATAAATTTCGTAAGATATTTTATAAATAATAATACAAAGTCTACTGAGAAAATCGTCAAAATCTATGCTGTATAAGCTTTATCTCCTATAGCACTGATTGTTCAGATACCAGTTTTTGCCATATATCTCCTTTATGTAGGAAACTAAACCCAATAAATTGTGTTACCGGTTTACATACCGATCACATAGCAGTGAAAATCACTTAGATTGGTGTCATAAAAAGTATATCCTCCATACCTCTGATTGTTTAGATGCGATTTTTTATATAAGTATGTAACTCCTCTATCGATATATGCAGATGTATTCAAAAGCAGTAATCTGTCAAAGTAAAATTTGCAGATGTTCATGAAAGGTATGAAGCCTTCGGCATAGCCGAAGACAGCGCTGCTCTTACTTGTTTTCATTTAAATATGTATGAGATGAATTTTTAAGCTAAGAAAAACTCTGATATATGTGTGCATATGTATTGTATGTTCCTTACGTTTTTATATAAACTATAAAAGTGTTATGGCCGTTAACTTACACTGGTCTACAAGGGTTTTGCGANCTAGGCTAAAGTGTTGCGAAACAAAAAACTTTTTTTTGCTTTTGCCGGTTTAAGGGGTTTATGAGGGTACACCCAACATATTTAGTGTTATTCTATAGGTCAATACCTTTCCAACTATACCTTATATATTCAGTTCCGGCAACTAGTTGGAAAGATATAGAACTAAATTGATTTTGGTTCGTGTCTCCACTACGAGATGCTTTGCGATGTGTGTAGCGTCGTACGTACCTTGATTTAATTTTTTTCAAACTTTCAGGAGTTAAAGTACCAAAAACACTAGGAAGGTTTTGTTCCAGGATGTTTTTATTCGTATGCCTTTGTGGGCGTGGCTGCTGCCTGAAAATCGAAAAAAGGCAATTTTTTAAACTACCACTGATGTCGCACTACTCATTACATACCATTCATGTGGATATTAGTAGAAGGGTCTTAAAACAAGCTATTTAACGCTCTCTTTTGCGTTTATGAAATATAAATATATCATAACGTTATCGCCTAAAAACTAAAAATCGGGCTGCTGAAAATATAGATTTCGAGAATTTTCTCAAGAACAGCAGCACCTTTTATGCGAATGCCCCGCACTTTGTAGAACAAGACGAAAGAGTATAAGTTCAGGATTATTTGAAGACCTAACCGACATAGCTGAGGTAGGCATACGGCTGTTTCTGTGTTTCGCGAAACCCACATGATGGTTTAAGAAGGAGGGTTTTAACCAAGGTGTATTTAACAAGGT